ATAATAAATAGTTTGAATAATACATAAGGTATTATAAAAGCAAAAAATCAAAAATCAAAAAATAATTATTTATAACTCCGGAGTATAAACCATTTGATATTAATAGCATTACTCCGGAGTACTTACTTCGATTAATAGTATCTTAATAACCCGAGGTGGTGTAATATCTAAACCACACCGACATGGAGTGGGGTATACTTTGGTATTACTCCGGAGTACATTACTCCATTAACATCCCTACCATCAAGTATAGATGATCTTCAAAGTCAACTCACAGAATTAGATTCAAAATTACAACTACAACTCTCAATTAAGGATTACAAAGAAATTGAAATTACACTTGATTGCATTAGCACTTACTTCAACTTCACATATATACCCAACTACATCTATGACTTACTAGACTTACTATCCCCAGACTGGGATATTGTTAACAACTATGTACCTAATACATGATGAGCGAAACAAACTCACCTACCAACTCACTGTTGGACAAAATAACCACTAATACAGATACACTTAACTCAACATCTTCACCTCTATTTAAAAGAAATACAGATACCCAATTAGGAATCACAGTTCACAATGTCCAAGGAATTAATGTAAACCTTAAATACTTAACCTGGCTACAATATTGTAATGATCTGAATACCGATATCATTATCATGACAGAGACAAAATTATCAGCTAACCATACCCACCCAGCGAGCCTAATTAACCCTTGGTTTAAAACTTATATAGCAAATTGTGATAAATATAATGCATTAACATGTTAATCAGTCAAAGGAGTAGCGATTGCACTGAAACACTACTTACAACCCTATATTCACAATATAAAATCCATACCTGGCTATGTTTTAGCAATCGATCTGTTTTTCCCCAACAACAACAAGACCTGCATAATCGGTGTTTATATCCTATCACAAATCTCTATACTGACAAATTTTGCACAACAAACAATAATTAACTGGATTCAACAAGCAAAATCCTTCAATTTCAACACAATTGTTGCAGGAGATTTCAATTCAAATTCAAATAGAAAAAAACTATCAACTCTTATTACTTACCTTATAAGCTCCAACCTAATAAGCTTACTTAATTTCTTCAATATTGATAATCCCACTTGGCAAAACAACACCTCTAGCCAAATCGATGATATATAGATAAACCAAGAAATAATCTTGAATCTCGCACAACCTTCTTTTTTATCATCACATTTATCAACCAATAGTGACCACCAAATTATCCAATCTCAATGAACAATCCCAAGCAAAATCTCAATACCTTGTATTAAAAAAAATAGAAGGAAAATATATATATATTCAGAAACTACACAGGATAAATGGCAGAAATTCGAAGACTATATTAATACTCTTACTTTGTTGGCATCCAGCACCTTTTTTACTATTACAAACCAAGCCTTAATGGATAAACTATAGAATAACCTTCAACAAACTATTAAACAAGCAGCCATCAAATATATTCTTTTTAGACTAACATGCCCAAAACTATTCAAAGCCTATACAGAAAAAGCAACCCATTTGCACTTCAACTTAAAAAGAATGAACAAAATAATTAATATAATCAGTTACCCATCTCCCCTCACATATTATACTACAATTAAATAAGAAATTAGCCAAAATAGAAAACATACAACCCTTCAAATCCACTTTCACTGTCTCTGATCTCTTGCCAACCAACTTTTAAAACACACTAATAGAACTTAAACAATTACGCAAAGAACTATACATAGCTAGAAATATTGAAAACCAACAATACCAAAATCAAATAATCCACAACAATATAGTCAAACACCAACAAAATTTTACTGATAATATTACCAAAATGATAGATAGCATTCTCAAAAAACAAAGTCAACACATTTAATTAATTAATATCACAACACCTTTCACTGTAATCACAGAACCTAAAGAGATAAAAGAAACTACATCAAAACATTTCAAAACTTGGACCAACTACAACCCACAAATTGGAACTTATGGCCCAACTAGAAACAATACTATGCACCAATTCCAATGATTAATGAACACGATTACTTCCAGCTAACCCTACCTATTACAATTTAGAAATTAACAGATACTATAACAAAAGCTTCAACTAACAAAGCCACCGGCCTATCTTTAATATCCAACAAAATGCTTAAATACCTACCCCCAGCTATGCTATCAAACATACTTAATATATTCAACAAGAGCCTAGAATTACAAATTATCCTATTAGCATAGAAAAAAGGCCTAGTCTGGCCAATAACAAAAAGTGGCTATACTGAAGAAAATCTCAATAGAACAAGACCTATTACACTAATCGAACATATAAAAAAAATACTAACAAAAATTATCACCAACAGACTTAATGCAATTCTAATCAAACTAAACATACTTTCTTACAGTAATAATGTTGCACTTCCACTAACCTCCACGGCACAACCTATCAACCAACTTATACATATAAAAGAAAATACAATAACAAATAATAAAGAATTATGGATATTAGCTCAAGACATCTCAAAAGCCTACAATATAGTTCACATCCCACTCCTTATCAAAGCACTACAAAGAATACACCTACCAGAAACAATTATAAAACTACTAACAAATATTCTTTCAGACCACAATAATTAAGTACTAACCTAACTAGGAAGGACACCACCTTACCCAGTTTATAACAGATTGGACCAGGGAGAAACTATATCACCAATCCTTTGAAAAATATACTACAACCCTTTAATAACTCAAATTATATCAGAATGTTAAGGTTACTAAATATCCTCTACCTACTTACAAACTCACAACACTACATCCTTCAATACCTCAGTTATAGCTTATATGGATGACACAACATGGATTGCATCTAACAGAAAACAACTGGAACATATATTAAAAATTGCACACTCATTCTACTGTTTTGCAAATATTGTAGTAAACCCAAACAAATCAACCCTTCTACGCAACAATACCAAGGACAACAACCCTATCACATTTCAAAACCACCACATATACAACCTTCTACACAATAAGACTCTACGCTTTCTGGGTACATACATTGATCACACTAAACAAAACTCAGTAGTAATAAAACAACTGATAAAATTTTTTAATCAGCAACTAAGCAAATTAAAATATTCTCATATCACCAAAAAGCAGGCAATATATATCATCAATGTTGTACTTCTAGCTCAACTTAAATATCAGTTGCAAAATACAATGCTATCACCATCATTATGCAAAAAGTTAAAGGCAAACAACATTCAAATTGTCAAGCAAAAAGTATCACTAGCAAGAGGAGTCCCTAACTCAACAATCCTCAACTTACTAACCTACAATTTAAAAGACATAACACAAATACAGATATATGCGCAACTGTTATCACTCTCCAACCAATTAGATTCTCTTCACCCTACCTTCAAAATCAGATTACAACAATTACAGAACAATGCTTTTACTAATACCTTAATACTAGCTTAAAAAGCAGTTTTTACCCCTATACAACACTCTATCTTAAATTATTGAGACAGCTCATAACTTCAATATAGCCTTTTGTAACCCACCCCAGGAATGGCCACAACTGATGAACTTTATAGGAACATCAATTAATAATATACTTCAAAATATTAAAAACAGAACCAAAATTAAAAAATTTACTAACAAACATCAAATAGTTGCAATAGAACAATTCCTCAATTATGATTATACAGAGTTTATCTCCTGGATACAATTTCACCACAACATACATAAAATTCTGAGAGGCAGAATTCCCAAATGGTTCTGCAACATTCAAAACTTGATTGAAGAACAAATATCAGTAACAACAATATTACCAAAAATGAACCTTTATTTATGGCAACCAATCCCAAAAGATTACAAGCACAAATGGGTCATCACGAAACACAAATTGATAGGCAGAATTCAAATGTATAACACACAGCAACCTATACTCCAACACTAGAATTTAGACACCAATAACAACAAACTAACTAAATATACAGGTTGCAAATATTTACAAACAAAACACAAATTTTGTAGGATTAAAATGTCTCTAGAGACAATATTTAGGATTAAAGTAAACCAGAAAAAGTTTTGGCATGGTAAATAGAATCAATCCATACCACCC